GAAACTGACAAGATACGACACAGTATGAAAGACATTTCCGACGACGCCTTTCAAATGCTGCTCTCAAAGAACCCTGCCACTGTCTCGGAGCTGTACCAGAGCTTCGACGATCTCCGACTACAGCGTCTTCTCACGTGACGCCCTGACGTGCCGGATGACACCCTATCAAGCCTGACTACCACCTCTGACTTTCAGTCACTGCTATCGCAGGTCAAGGAGTTTGTTCGTGCTGAGGTCGCTCGTCAGCTATCGCTCCTATCAATAGCCGGCCAACCACCTTCACCTCTACCAGCAAACATTCGCCAGGTAATTCAGGAGAAAATTGGCGCGGCTCTGCCATCTGCCCGCGACACTTCACCGTTGCCGACTCCTGTTGCCAGTGCCGAGATGAATGCACCTCTAAGCTATGCTGAACCACCTCTTGAGACTTTTACGTCACTACCATCAGCCGTGCCACTGCGACCCACTCCTCGGTTCACTCAGACAAGGTCCGTCCAGAGTAGTGGACAATGGCGTGCACTCGACAATCGGCCAATATGCTTTGCCTGTGGCTTACCTCGCCCCATAGCACGATACTCCCGTCGTCGCGTCCCTGTCTATCACCAGAGCTACCACCACAGCTTCACACCTGCCCCTTATATGCCACCGCGCCCTTCGTTTGCAGCCTCTCATCACCCCTACCAGATGTCATCCTATGCCAATCACCGCCCTCCTGTTAACCGCCACTCACCATCACTGACACGTCGTCGTCCTTCATCGCCAGAGCAGGAAAACCAATTGCCGCAGTTTTAGAGGCAGGAACTGCGTCACCCGTGAAAAGACCAAGGCCTCTCTTTTCACCGACGAATGTTCTTGACGTATATGTCGACGGCGTCGCTGCACTCGCTCTTCACGACACTGGTGCCGAAGTTTCAGTAATCAGTGCCAAACTCTGCCGCTTGCTCAAAAACTTTGTGTCGCCACAGGCAAGTATATCGCTTCGTACAGCCAGCGCAGAGCACGTCACGCTGGCCGCTGCCTGTACTGCTCGCATTGCGATTGATGGCCTCATCTATGTCGTCGAATTGCTAGAGTTGAATTCCTGCTCCCATGACTTTATTTTGAGTTGAGACTTTCTGTCCGCTGATAAGGCTGACATCGACTTCTCTCGCGCTGAGGTAGCATTTGAAGCGTTTGACAATGCTCCGTTATATGACGAAACCAGGGACAAACGATTTGTTGCTAAAGACGTTCTGATGGTTATCTTTTTCCTGGGCAGCTTCAAGCAATGATGCGCCTCTGCAGTGAGACGCCTGCTTGCTGCACAGAAGGCCTGGGCTCCATTCTCACTCGAGCCGATGAGTTTTTATGGTGAAAGCTGTTATTAGATCACAACTCGGGTCACGCGCGGTGCCGTAGTCGTCTGCCACGACCACAGGTGTCCGTAACCACTTCGCACGGATAAGAAAAAGACTAGTATTAAGGACACAGTGGGGCTCGACCCGGGTTTCCTACGTGCCAGCCCAGTATTCTACCACTGAGCCACGCTGGTGCTTTGGAATCATTCGCAAATTCGCCTAAGGCAGGTTCAATATCGGGAAAGGAATCGCTTTATATGAATAATAAAGCGGTTTAGAACAGAAAAAGAACATCCAGGTGTCACACAATGCGAATAGCTTAACGAGTGCGTCATTAAATGCTCCAACCCACTATAAAATCTTGTTCTTGATCACCTAATTACTGTGGCGCATACCCACTTGAGGCATAATTCCTCATCGTCGTCAGCCACGTACTGCATGAACACACAAAAATCTGTGCAAGCTTTCAGCGGATACCACGCTTCTCAGAAAAATGATGAAAAATAGCATAGTGAATGCAGGCCTACTAGAAATCATTACACTACCCAGAAATTATTATTATTAATGCCGTTGTGATTACCCAGCAAGTGCGCTTGGAGCAGTTACCCAATGAGTGTTTAGAAATGGCTCTGAAAGCCCGCTTTTCTAACTTTTGCTGTGACTGGGCAGCGTCTTCCGCGCAGGCCTAGCGTTTTTTTATTTATTTATTTATGTCCGTCTTACTCAACTTTTTGGTCAAGCACAACGCTAATTTTTTGCTCACAATGCCGACACTGACGCCGGAATTTTAGCGAAACGAGCTCGCTAACGCGGTCACGTTAAAGATGTCGTCTATGTAGGAATAGTTCAAACATCCGTGGTCACATTAACTTGCAACAAATACAGACAATGTCAGTGTTACCTAAATGATTAGTTATCATGGCCTTGATATACCTAAAGCGAAATGTTACTAACTAACATTAAAGTACTTGCCTTTGATTTTTTTTAACTTTAATGAATTTTAACAATCACAATTACATTACCCACTATATGCTCTCTACAAGCGCGCGTTTGGGTAACGATAACATATTCCATGAGTACAGTGCAAAATAATGCTTATAAATATCCATTTTTCACTTTTCTTGCTTTGTTTTACTATTGTAACTGCCGCATCCCTTTCGCCGGTGTAGAGTAACGTGCCAGTTATTCTAAGCTTAGTTAACAACCATGCTTTTTCTCTCTCTTCAGTTTTCCGTTCTTTTTTTCGAAAGCGACAAGCGGTGCGAACTTATCACTAAAAGTTCTTATTTATAGCACTAGTGAGAAAATGTTGTTTATTTGATACTTCAGGATAATTCTTCATTGAAGTCACATTTGCTCTTTTGTATTCTTTGCGATGGAGTGTTCCATTGCTTGATTTTTTTTGTGTATGGTTGTTGTTAAAGTTTTTTAGTGTTCTCTTGATGCACTTTTTCCTTTGCGCCAATTCTGGATCAGTGTCAAATTAATCCTAATAGTTGTTGAATTATTTAGGACTACGTTTAATAATAATTATTAAATAAATAAAAGGCAGACAGAAATGTGGGAGAAAGTAGAGGCAGATGTGTTAGCCAAGTTGGGAATAAAGTAGCCAGTTTTTGTTTCAAAATGACGTTCGCTTAGGTCCACCACAGAGCTATATTTAGTGATGTCATCCAATATGGTCACTGTTGGTAATGCGCCTAGCACTGCAAATAGTCGCGTTGTCAACGTCAGTAGCGCTTTTGAGAACTTCTGGCCATTTTGCTGGTACTGATTGGCTTTTCAGGAAAAAAATAGCCAAATATGTCCGACGTTTTATTACTTGGAGGTACAACTCTCATGCTATACACTGCAGACGAGCACTTGATGAACAGATGCGCAGAATATTGAGAAAATTTCTCCGTAGATAGTAGGTTGTTGTGATGACTGTCGACTGCAGATATCTTTGTGTGAGCCAGCAACGTACATGATCCACTGGAGGCACTCTCGAGAAAGAAAGAAAGAAAGAAAGAAAGAAAGAAAGAAAGAAAGAAAGAAAGAAAGAAAGAAAGAAAGAAAGAAAGAAAGAAAGAAAGAAAGAAAGAAAGAAAGAAAGAAAGAAAGAAAGAAAGAAAGGAAGGACAAACTTTTTTGCTTTGGGAATACATCTTTTAAGAGACGTCCTTAATTCAATTGCTTTGAGCTCGAGCCGCGTTCATGACCCTCGGGATAGAGCTTTTTTAGAGAGACTTGCCAGCTCCTACCTCGAGGTACTGTAGACTCTGGTCGCATTTTACGGCGCCCTTGCTCCATTGTAGTTCCACAGACCCGACAGGGTGATTGAGGTATATTTGAACTGGGCAGTCGACAAACTCTGGCCTTGCGTATTGAAATATGTTCCTTATCGCCCTCTCCTCATGCAGTCTTTATATCGAGTGTTTTCGAAGTTGAGCTTTATGGTTATGTTAAAATTCAGCGCTTGAAGAACGTCAAAACCACCTTTTCAAAAGTTATGTATCCAGGAGGACACAAAGTGATACTAATTATCGCGATTAGGCACTTAATTAACTAAGATTGATTAATTACCTTTTCAGTGACTTGATCAAGCTGGTATGTTTGTAATGAAAAGTTGGAGGCAATCGTGGTTCTACGCAGTTACACTTCAAAGACTTCTTGTGGCGTGTCTGTGCCCCAAGATATTCCACTGGAAAGTTCAATTGCAGTATGCATTACTACGCATGCAAGGTGCAACTGATCGGTGCTATGTTATTTCATACTTGACGTTACGAGCAGTCATTTGTTTGCTATCACCAGCCGGCAGCAAAATGGTATACCTTATCATATTTTCCACTGGCTTCAACTTGTTGTCAAATTAAGCAGCGAACTCAACTGCCGCGGCACATCAGAGAGGAGCTTTGTGTCGGTGCACACTGTCTTGCATGCGTTATCAAGCAATGAGCCATTAAATTTTGCAACGAGATATATCGAAGTACAGACATGCTAGCAGAATCATTTCAAGTGTAACTGCGTAGAAACGCGACAGCCTCCAAATTTTCTATACAAACACGCCCGCTGGCTGCAATTTCCAAATATTTAAGTATTCAAACTTAGTTAATTGTGTCAAAAGTACTTTGGATGCTGTCATGCATGCGGCTACAAACAGCATGGCAGCTTGGCTCACCACTGACGTTCTTCTTCAGACGTTCTGCACTTGGCTGATGACACCGTCACATAAATGGTTTTTCACACTTTCTCGCATCCAGCAGACACTCCTTGTCGAACTTTTTCGGAGCCAACAGCTAAATGGTTTTGCATGACACATATAGGTTTTCTACTTCTTAGAGGTTCTGAAATGCTCCTTCGAGTTTCTCGGTATCTACTCGTTTAAAATGTCACTATTGGGAACTACTTTAGCAAATAAAAACATAACAAAGATTCAATGGTGACATACCAGCGTGAAGAAGTCGGATTATAATACTGGGCGGTTTCCTACACTGGAAGTCAGTTGCAGTGCCACAGTGGTGCAGGTGCTTACCCGAAGGTCGCGGGTTTAGTGCCGGCCAGGGGGGGGGTCGCATTTGGATGGACACGAAATGGTATAGAAGCCCCTTGGCCCTGCTGATAGAGAATCTCTTTTGCCCTGCTGTCAGTATTTTAGACGTTTTTTCCGTACATTTGTGGTAGACATCATTCCTGTGACTGTGGCGATGGACGTGGATTCGCCTAGTTTTCCACCCCAACCATCCAAGTCGTCTGCAGCTGCTACGAGAAAGAGTAGCCGCCACCCGAGTGATGCCAAGAGCGAGAACACGCTGATTTTCTCTACGGCCAGTGACGGAAACTACGACGAGGGTGACTTCGTGCCTGTGACAAGGCGTCAACCAAAGAGAAGACTGATCATGCCATCTCCTGCAAGAAGTAACAATGCTACGAAGACGCGAGAGCCTCTGATTCAGACGAGCCTGTTTGTGCCGATCGATGTGGCTCATAGTCTCAACCGGCTCAATCGTCAAATTACGTCTAGGTCTCTTGAGGCACTCGCCCAGGGACAGATCGTGGATGTGTGGACTCATGGCTGTAAAAATATTCTCGTCATAGACACCACTCAACGACGCACACTGGAAGTTTTGAGCAACGTCAAGGTGTTGGAGGGCATCAACGTTCGCTTCTACTTACCTGATGGCCGTGATTTTACTGCAGGCGTCATTTATGATGTCGACAGTGCCATCAGCGAAATTCACTTTCCAGCTCTCATCAAACCGGTGTCTGTAGAACTTACCATACTGCAAGCCTGTCGCCTTGGCAAATCATGCTGTGTGAAACTCGTGTTCAAGGGAGACAGCCTTCCATCGCAAGTCAAGGTCGCTCATTTTCGACACGCAGTGCGGCCCTTTGTACCGAAGCCGCTTCAATTCCTGAACTCCTGTAAGATGAAACACGTCAGTGCTGTTTGTACAAACCCTTCTGTGTGCTCGTGGTGCTCAAGATCACACAGCGCAGACGCTTGCCAGGCAGAACTTTGTAAGTGTGGTAACTATCACGACCCTCACGATGCATCGCTGAAAGATTACCTAAGCATGAAAAGGAAATGCAAGTGTTGAGGCAAATGATCCGGGACGGCTCAACCAACAGGGAGGCCACTGCTAAAGTACGACGCCGGCGGTCTCGTCGCTGGAGGCCCCCGAGGAAGCCCAGTGCCGAATCAAGGGCTGCGCCTCATCAAATGATCACTGGCATACCACGTCAAGCATGCAGTGACACCAACGACAAACCATCCAAGCCAGACACGAGCATCACCGGCTCACCTGACGCATGGCCAACGCTTGCGCCGATAGATCCGCCGTCTGAACCGCCACGTCGCTCGTCTACAACCTCTTTGGAACGAGAGTGTGGCGAGAGTGTGGCGATAAGTAACTCGTAGCCATGGTAAAGACCCTCATGAATACCATTCGTATACTCCTCACTATAGCATTACCATTCCAGCTGCTAAGAGTGCACTTCAGTTATCAGATTTGCTTAAACCAGTGCTATCAAGTCTGGAGAAGCACCATGGCTCACCCTCTGCAAGCCTTTTGTAAAGAAGTCAAAGGAGCTTCGATTTTTCAGCGGAATGCCTGGAGCCTCAAGCCCCGCATTTCTGATATCCGACCATTTGTGTTCAAGAACCAATTTCCCATCATTGTTATTTGTGAGCCATGACTTCACAATGCGATACAGCTATCCAAGTACGAAGCCTTCAAGTCCGCTACCTGAAACGAACAGAGTAAAGTCGTTGTTTACATCAGGTGTGAGCTTACCTATATCGAGCACTCTGTAATACCTCACGATGACAACCAGTATAGCTGCTTGACAGTAAAACGTAAGGACCTAACTTTCACGTTAGTGGGCGCATATATATCTCCTTCAAGTCGTTTTGAACCTAAAAGACTATGTGCGCTGTTAACAGCCACACTTGTACCACGAATCATCACCGGAGATATCAACGCTCACCACTCACTGTGGGGAAGCAAGAAGATAGATCACCGCGGGAGGCAACTTTTCTCCTTTGCTTTGGAGCAGCAGCTGCTTTGTGTAAACAATGAAAGTCCTACATTTCTACGGAGAACGACATATAGCAACTGCCTCGATTTAACATTTGTGTCAAGAAGCCTAAGTGGAAAGCTTCAGTGGTTCACAGGTTACAAAACTTATGGAAGTGACCACATGCCCACTTCTTTTAAAATCAAGGACCTGGGAAAATCACAAAACTGCAACGCTTCGACTCGTATTGATTGGTTAAAATTCCGGTCACTGACGGAAAGAAGGTGTCACGAAAGTGAAGCGCCTCCTTTTCACACCCTCAAGGATATGATTAAAGGTGCTGCTTATAAAGCGACTTATCGTTATGAACCTACTTCAAATTATTCTCAATATGAAACGGATATGGAACGACTCATAGAAATCCGTCGTCATGCACAACAAAGCTATTGACGCAATATATCCATCTACGACTTCAGGGACGCAAGGCGTCTACAGAAAAAAAAATCAGTGGTAAATGAAGTCATTTCAATCATTTCGGTGAAGATCTCTGTGCGAATCACTGGAACCACACAAGCCTTTGACGCAAACATTGAAGATTGTTCGTGGCTTACGAACATCGCCACATTAACATCGCCCCTTCTAGTGTCTATCTCTCCATCAAGGCCACATGGAAGTTGAAGTAGCACAGGATTTCTGCATAAAAGTTGCCGGTCAGGCGTCTGCGTCCACTACGCGTCACCTAGAAAACGCAGCAGTCTCCAAAGATTAAAGAATGGACACCCTTTTTTCTTTAGACAAACTTCAAGTGGCATTGCCAGCATGCAAACGATCATCATCACCTAGTTTGGATGGGATCAAGTGCATGGCTCTTTGCAATCTTGGTGAAGCAGCTCGACGGGCCATTCTATCTGTGTACAATGACTCGAGGAGCAGCAAATTGGTCCCTCCTTCGTGTAAATCCAACCACCTCGACCCTGTGCTTAAACGAGGTAAATCTCTTCTAGACTTAACCTCTTATTGCCCCATCATGCATGCCAGCCGTTTTGCGAAAGTGACGGAAAGGATGATGTTCACTCACCTGTAGTGGTACCTGAAGCACCATAAGATGTACTCTGATGCTATGACGGTCTTTCAGCGTGGGCGATCCGCTATTGATAACGTTATTGACCTGGTCTGTGCTACACCAGAAAAGCCTGAAACGAATATCTGCAGCATTGTCCTTCGACGTGAAAGACGCATACGCTAATGCATTACATGAAGCCATTCTGGATGTCTTGAAAAATATCGGGTTAGGGGGTCGAGTTTACCAATGAATCGACAGCTTTTTGAAGGGCAGAGCCTTCTTTGTGCAGACTGGGGATGGCCCAACAACGCACCATTGCATCCGTCATGGTGTCCCTCAAGGTGATGTTCTTATCCCCACAGTTTTCAATCTAGCGCTCCTCGGCCTGTTTGACGCACTTCCACGATCAGTTCATCTGTCAATATATGCAGATTGCATCTGCATTTGGGCGTCAGGCGTAACACGCCTTCATTTGCGTGCCAGGCTTCAAGGGGCGGCTACACTGGCGACAAAGTACCTTGAAGGATGGGGACGAGAGCTGTCATGAGAGAAGTGCTCGCTTATAGCAATCATGCATAAGGGGATAGGCCCGTGTGTTATTAAAATCAACGGACACACGATCAAATACGTGAAGACCTACCGATTCCTCAGAGTGATAGTTGATGGCGACTTCTCCTGGAGCCCTCACATCGCCTAAATGAAAACTAAACTCACCTTGATCAACCACGTACTGAGGTTTCCTGCAGATAAAAACGTGAGGTGCACCATACGACCGATGCTTCAACTCTACACTGTTCTGTTCCTCCGTTTAATGCGCCTCAGCTTACCCATGTTTTGCGGGATCCGAAGAACAAACATGTGTGTCCTCCAGTCGATTCAAGCCCAAGTACTGAGAATAAGCCTCGGCCTTCCGATATGCACATCTACAGCAGCGACAGTCGTCATCGCACGCGATTATCCTGTGAACACATATATACATCCGCGTAGACGCTTTGGGGATGCACTTAATACATTTCGCTCGAATTCCGTCGCATCACCTCGCCTCACTCAGCGTTTAGCGCAACTGTAGCTCAGCATTGCGCAATTCTTCTATCGCACTTCACGCATGCAACACGGCTACCCTTACGATTGTGGAACCTGCACCCACTAAACGCTCTTCTTGCCATTCTTGGCATCAAAAATAAGAAAACAGTCGTCAAATCTAGCCCTGAAACAGGCCACATTACTGTTCCTGCACGAGACGCACAACGGACGCCTTGACATTCACACGAATGGCTCTGTTTTTTCAGTAGGTATTCTTGCAAAGTTCATCACACTTAAATTCAATACATCGCATTTAACGTCATCCACAGCTGCAGAACTCGCCGCCATACATGCAGCTCTGGAGTTTAGAGTTGAAGAACCTTCGGAAACTCGGTCCATCTTCTCGGACTCGAAGGCAGCTTTACAATGTGTCATATCACCCTTTTGTCATGGACCTACTGAACAGTTAGTAGCTGATATAAGGCTTCTTCACCACCAAGCTATCGAAAGACAACACAACATAGTGCATCAGTGAATACCAGATCATTGCGGCATATGTGGCACCCCGCATATGAGGCCGCTAGGTCTGCACATGACGGTACGCAATACACAGCCATCTCGTTTTCAAGAACCGACGCAGCTACAAGACTTCATTCGCTTGCACGTGACCTCACTCCGATACAGTGAAACTCGGCGGAAATCACAAATGCTCACCTGCATAGCTTGTATTCCTATCTAGAGGTTCGTCTTCCCGCAGCACTATCTCGAACTGAGGAGAATCTTCTGTGCCGCCTGTTGCTTGGCGTTACCTTCATGAAAGCATACTCATTTGTAATTGGAATGGCCAGCTCTTCTACATGCAATGACTGCAACTGCGAAAAAACAATCGCCCATCTTCTGTGTGAGTGTACTCATTTGAACATGTCAAGACGAGAACTTACCGAAGCTCTATAGATAAACTGGATGATCTACCTTTGCCGGAACAAAGGTTTCTGGGACATTGGCCGAGTCTATTGTCAGCCCAGAAGGCTTTGAATGCTTCATTGCGTTTCTTTTTTTTTTTGTGCACAACTGGCCTTAGAGACAGCCTTCAGTGTCGTATTCTATTTGATTTTGCTTTTTATCTTTTGCTATCATTTGTATTTTCTCTCTCTCTCTTTCTTTTTGTAACGTCTCTTTTCTATAATCTTTTATTTCTCTACCCTCTTTTGCCAGTACAGGGCTACCAACCGGTCTAATCACTGGCTAACCTTACCGTCCTTCCGCTTATTTCACTCATACAGCCTGATAGTCGAGAATTTCTGGGCCCTTCCCTACGGCGTGCCTTATAATCCCCGCCAGGGTTGTGGTACAACCAAACTACAGATATTATGTATTTTACTTCTGCACCTAAACTCTGGTTTTCACAGATGCCATGTTAGTGTGCGTGTTTAACAGCAAAAGAAATATTCCCAAGATGGCACTTGAATATTGTTCCCTTGATCATATTTTCGCAAGCTGCAATGCTCTCTGACGTATTTTTGCTGACGAATCTGGTACATTTGCGTCATTTGTCATTTTTTTCTCGCCATATTTATTCTACGATTGTGCTGGGGCAGTTTTAGTTGATTTCAAATACCACAAAGCTGAGTCACCGGTCGCCCTGGTCTCATGAGTGATGCTGCGTACTCTGATGTTGCCACGCGTGCACGAACAACTGGCCACGAACAGTCGTCTATGTACCTAAGGCTGTGAAGCGCACCGGAGTGCAAGATT